TGGTACTTACTAATTAAGCGACACCCGAACGCGGAATCTCTCTCTCGTACCTCGGACGCTCCGCGAATGACCGAGAATGCCGAAACATCGTCGCCAACTTCATTCCGATACCGCGCGGTACGGCGCGAGTCATATACTAATGTGTAACTGTAAATGTTTAAGAAAAAAAGTCAATTTTTGACTTATAAGTCATACTTCAGCCTCTTGGCCACATAGTAATTGACTTTTTTGCACAAATTTAACGTTATTTTTTAACAATGTCCAAAACTGCAAAAGTTTTATCTCATATACTGTAATATAAACATTATAAGCGATCAGTTGGTTAATGAGTGGAAAAAGAGATATTTGCATGTGTCCGTCCACCCGTTATTAACACGGCGAATTATCAGATGTATCAAATTTCACAGTATAAGAACATAACTCTTTCAAGTTCCCAAAGTTATGTGCTTGTGGTGCGACCCTTGCCCTTAAGCAGTATTATTGACCCAAAACTCCTAAGCTCGACGACCAATTTCTAAATTTAATGTCTCCTCCGAAAGATAGCCCCCAGTTTCTCCGCACGAGCCCCACTCGTGCAGGGGGTGCAGTTTGGAATATAAAAATTCCTGTGATCAGGTGGACACGAACCCGGTTCCTAGGAGTTACGAGTCTGGCGCTTTACCACAAGACCACACTGCCACCCTTGCCTTACGCGAATCGTCTAAAAATATTAATATTCTCATTATTCTTAATATGATATTAACATATAATTTATGTAAACTATTAGTATATAAATTAAATTATAATTAAATGCTTTGAATCTGAAAATGAGAAACAAATCACGTTTAGACTGTAGGCAACGTTAAAGCGCGAATTCAAAGAGCGTTAAAGAGACGAATTCCGCAACGACAGAATAATTCGTAATCGTATTTCAAGGGAATTTATGAATAAATCACGCGAAATATTCGCCTTGACGAACGCTCGTCGCTTACGATAAGCTCGCGCATCGTTCGTCGCGGTGTACATACCTAATCGCGCAGATTGAGAGATCTTCGCGAATTTCTCTCGATACCTCTCGTGGTCACATCTCAAGGGACAACGATACGGCCAGATACGGCGCGACGCGCGCGACACATCAATTGTGACTCCGCGCCCTGCCTCACCCCCCCCCCCTGCGAATGATAACAGGCTCGCCCGCCTACATCGCAACAATACGAGCTCCGACTCGGGTGGGGGGAAAGGACGATGACGCGCTGTTTACTTAACGCACTCTCTGTAACGAACGCGCGCCGAACTCTTTCAATTATTGTACGCATTGCATGCTTCGCGCTTCGTTTCGCGAATATTATATCGTTCAATCTCTGATCAAAAAATATTTCATAAATTGGGACTTATGGAAAATTCTAAAAATATATATCTATAATTTCTTAGATACTTTTAGAAATAATATTAGACTAAGGTTTTCGAAATATTTCTGTATGTATATGAAAATATCTGATAAATTGCACAGATTTTCGTGTATTTATTCAGATTTCTATAAAAATATATTAGCGCGAAATATTTTATTCTTATATCTTGCCTGAGTTTTTCTGAAAAAACGTTTTAATTCGTATAAAAAGTCTGAAAAATTCTGAGCATTTTGAGAAAGTCTGAAAATTTTTATAGAAATTCTAATTAAATAATATGAAAAATTCTGATATTTTTATACCAGGGACACAACGATCCATTGATAAAATCTCGATTAATAAAATTTTTGTCTTGCGAGAATGCGTTGTCAAAGTACGCGTGGCTGTCGCGGGTATGAAGAACGCAATGAGAAATCTTAAATTTAAAAGTATCTTGCGAAGGTGTGATAAGTTTCTTCCAACATAAAAGATCTCTCGAAATTAATAGATATGTAAAGGCTCTGTAATCTAACAAAAATATTCTCGAAATTAACGTTCAGAAAATTGCGGTGTTAATAAATTCACGATACATGCAGAGTATTTAATTAATATAAACTAATGAAGCGATCTTTTCGCTTAAAAGCCTAATATTTCCTTAAATGTCACTTTGAAATCAATATTGTTATAATAGCCGCAATATGCACGCATTATTTTTTGAATGTTAAATAAATGTAGGTACGCTGAAATTATCCACATTATTATCATATTATCTCGAAAGTGCAGCAATCGTTCTAAACCCAAGAAAAAAAAACTTGCTCGATTCAATCGCGTTCGTACACGAGAAGCAAGACAAGTATCATTTGATAAAAAGCAATATAGTGTTAGACGAAACGAGAAATCGTTTTCTCGGGAGAAAATTATTCAAATTGCCGATGAACTCCGAGACTCCGGCAGAGCACTCTGTTCTCCGTGTATTGTAACAAGTACGTAGAGACGAAGAGAAGAGCTACCTATGTACATATAACGAGAAGTCAAATAACTGGCGTAGCACGTCGTGGGATCGACTTCGTGCGCGACGAAGATTTCTCCGCGATGTTCATAATTAAGCGACCACTTAGCTGCGGGAGAAAATAGATTCAACGTCGCAATACATTTAGGTCGTAATGCGAGAGAGAAGAAGAGAGATCTACATGAGGTTTTCATCCTGTCGCAAAATGTATTTCATTGGTTCTCTTAAGCGCAATCCCCTTGAATATGTTATACAGATTCCGAGATAACGGTCATCGATGAAACCGGAAATAGGGGGTACCGCGCGTCGCAGCGCGCTATCGTGGAAAGATCGCTGATTACAGTGATTAATCCTTAAGCGGACGCGCGACACTTAATTTGATTACTATTCTTCGAGTACTGTTGCCATTGTTCGAGCTTGCACTTGTGAGTTTCTCGCGTAAATACACTACAAATTACGACAGCAACGGCGGCGGCGGCGGAGTGCTATGATATCAGTCCTGAATGCGCGTAATTACTGCGAGCGTTGTTGAATTCTTTGAAAATCCGCTGTTTGCACAGCGTCTTATTTAGGATAACACTGGCGTGTATGCTAATTGACATTCGCCGCGGCAGGAAACGGCGTAATTCGTTGCTTGAGAATAAAAGCTTAAATATAAGGACCACGGAGGACATTGTGCGGGACCAAAACAGGAGTTGGTCTTTAAGATTATACGAGCGACGCGAATGCTAGAAGAACGATAAGTTCCTTCCGGTATAAAGAACCCACGGGTGAATTAACGTCCACCTGTTCGATCGTTATTTCCGGTCGTTCGAATACCGCGCTGCGATTATCGCCGCGGACCCTCAGGCAGCTCAGATTCCCAGGCGCGCCCTCGTAAAGAAACAACCACGAGCGAATCAACGAGGAAAGCGATCCTGACGGTCGGGTCGCACGATTAAAAGAGGTTTCTTTCGCGGAGAGAAAAAGGCGGCTGCAGGAAGCGAGAGGATCGTCACCGTCGGCCCCGAGGCCACGGGACAAAACGGATGAGCGACGCGTCGGGGGCTCCTCTAAGACGCCAGACATTATGGATCCCGTCCGCGCGGTTAGGAAGAAGAAAGGAAAAGGGCAGCGAGATGGGGGAGAGCGGGACCGGCCGTGGAGAGCGGTGATACATACATCCGTTCGTTTTAATCGCTAATCACCAATTATCCGAGAAGCGTCCCGCGCCCAAAACCCCCAGAAGCATTTTAACGAGCCGCCGTGTCGCCCGGGCCCGGAATTTCACTTCGGTCCGAGGCCCGATGGGCTTCCACCGCGCTCCAGACGAACGTCCACGGTTCGGAATATATATTTCGTGCTCCGTGGCCCATCCTGTTCACTTTGTCGTCCACCTATCTCGCCTCCGAACCGTGTGCGTTCGTCTGTGCGCGCGCGCCCGTACCAATTAGCGCATACTTCGGCTCTCGGTGTTTTAAGAGCCCCTCGGGGTGCTGCTTCCGCCGAAATCTACGGAATGGAATCCCTTGTTCCAAACGACCCAGAATCTCGTCGGCGGGATTACTTTCGTTGCCGGTCTGACGATTGATTCTCAAACGAAGGAAATAATTTAAGATAGATACGTTTTATTCAGCGAATAAAGAAAGAGAATGAAATAGAATGACAATATTGTGAATAAATTTTGATTTTTTTTTATTATAATATGAGGCACAGTATTATCGTTTTATATTTATTTATTAAAAAATTTAAAAGCTTTTTAAAATAGAGATTTTATTTCTCTTTGGCAAAAACTTATTTGCATCCCTCTCATATTGTCTTCTTTATTTTCAAATGAAAAAGATTTGGTCGTTGCCAATTGAAAGAACTGGCAATAAGCGAATCGCGCGTTTCGTAAGCACGAAGAACACGTGGGCGTTCGTGGAGATTATTCTTCCTAATGAGGAATACGGAAAGCATGAATTTGCGAGGGTGTCTTTCTCGCAGGTTTTCGTAACGGTTCTAGCGGCATCTTTCGCGCGCCGCGTCGACTTTAAGTATATACCACCTTGGGAGCTAGGTAATAACTAATTCCAGTGGAATTAGAAACGCCGAAGAGTCGCGCGGATAGTGGATGTACGTGACCGTAAGTTGATAGGTTTTTTCTCCGGTGCGCATTCGATGACAGCATATGCGTGCGCACGCGGAAGAGGCTGAGAGAGGTATTTAAAATCTAATCTTCGCATTAGGAGAACATATTATACGCGACGTCGATTAAATTAATCTTCTTTGATCGTTATCTCATTTCTCCCAGTAAAGTTTCAATTTGTTCTGTATATAAAATTCAACGAGACGTTCAGCGAATGACACTCTGCATTGGCGACAAGGCAATGCGAATAAACTCGAGTTAATTGCTGATTACCACGTTGACGTAAACCGCCATTCTACTGTTACCTTCCATCTGTCAACCATATCCACGATACTTTCGAACCTCCAAATTTTCGGCAAAAAATTCTCTCCGTTTTACACAATTATTGTCCGGACCTTCAACACTTTCGCTACAAAATTATTTTAGCCACCTCGATGGAAATATCAACGACTCGATCGAATCTATCTTAATCACAGATACGACTTGATTCTCCGCGCGAGAAACGCCTCGAGTCAACGTCATGTCCTGTTTCGGCGGTCACGACGAGCAGATCTATCTAATCGAGATACTGATCGATAAATTGACGTTGACGCCCGTTAAAATCAAAGACGTCGCCGGGCACCCTATCGTGATCAAGATCAAACTCTTAGATTTCCCCGTGTTCGAGTTCACGCGAGACGACGACTCAGACGCATCGAGGCGCGATCAGGATGTGCGCTTTGTGGTCGGCAAATGCTGTCTGTTCGTCAAACGACCGCGGGATCTGGTCCAAGGACTACGCTCGTCGAGCTTGAAGATCGGCGTGTTTCGCGCGGACGACACCTATCCCACGGCGGAGACCGAATTAACTCTGCCGGGTTGCCTGTGCGACCAGATCGCCATGATCGGTAACGATCCCGAGAATCAACCGAGACCGTTCGTGATGAAGGGCGGTGTCCATCTCGTAGATCCGGGCGAAAATCCATCCGGTACGTTGTACATGGAACTTACCGTCGCATGCCTTGGACGCATCTTCAGGACGCAGCACGAACTGCTACCTAAATCTCTCGTTTCCGGCGAGCAGGACAAGGAACGGGAGATCTGCGTGAAGCGATTCGTATTGCCCGAGTTTCTCGATGAGAAAATTCCCAAGGACGCGGTATTGCAGGAGATCGCTCCGAAACCGAAAGTTAAAAAAGCGAAAGTACCGAAAAGTAAGAAAGATAAGAAAGGGAAGAAAGGTAAAAAGAAGAAAGGCAGGAAGTGATCCTTGTAAATATCTTCCAAGAGCTCTGAAGTGCGATTCCCCATCATACATTCGTCGAGTAATCACTTTCGATTCGTCGTTATGGCAACTATATCTGACAACTGGAAATGTCAATTGACCGATTTGATGCGCGCGCGGGGAGATCGTTCGATTTCGGACCCGAAACGCTTGCAAAATTAATGGCGCGATTGATAAAGACGCATCGTTAACGATCCGGAGTCACCTTCCAAATTTGTCGTGTGGCCGACAACGTGCGCGTGTATTCATTCCCGCGTTCGATTCATCCGAAATGGCCTTCAAGAAAAATATGTCATTATTAGAAAGGGAACAATTGTACATGTTTGAAATTCTCATTGACGGTCTACATCTATATCCCGAGAAAATTATTAATAATCAAGAGTGCGATTTGATGGTACGTATAAACTTCGTCGATCTCAAATCCGTCGACGTCGTAGCCGAAGAATCAACCAAGGTTAACGACAGAGAAACTAGGAATAAAGAAAATCGATTTTCCGACGAGTACGTCAGTTTCGAAGGCAAGACGTGTCTGCTCGTCCGAACACCGAGCGATTTAATACGATCCGTAAAATCGACTCCTCTTAGCATCGAAGTGTATCGGATTCTTCGCGGAGAGGACCACAACCCGCGAGACGATGCCGGACACGTTCTTCTCTGCGCGGCAACGGCATTTATGCCAGGGTGTTTCTGCGATCGCATAGCCGCGGCCAGAGGCAAGATAGACGGGCTATCAAAGTCGTACACATTGACGAAGATTTACACCTTGACCGATGAACATGGGAACCCGTGCGGGTCCATATCGATGTGCCTGAGGCTGTCGTGTTTCGGAAGCTCCATTATAAATCATCTTACGCTTCACGAAAAGTCATTCGTACTTCGAGGATTTCCTCTCGGTTGGGAGGTTCCTTGCACGAAACTGTCCGACGAAGATGTAAACGACGAGAGGCACAAGACAAAATGTGACAACAACACATCATTATTGTGCAAAATTCTGGATCCTACGTATTCGAAATTACACGACCAGAACGATGGTACAGAGGCAAAGTCCGTGATGTTGACGAGACCGGAATCTCCACCTCGCGTATCGATCGACCAGCCGGGATTCGAGAAATTAACGAGCGCCGAGAAACTGAACGATCATAGGTATCGCGGTTTAATTTACGAGACCTATCACGACGAGCCGACTTGTTCGTGTCTACCGACAGACCGATCGACGCATCCAATGATGTGTCGTTCCGGATGCGTCCGTTCTTGCTGCATGGCTCTGAGAAATCCCGACGCTCTTAAAAAGTATCCATCGCTCGCTACGCTCGCTCCCGACTGTTTAAAACTGGATGTGGGACGAAACGTGACTTATCATGACTCTGCGAGGATGAGAGGTGGCGACGACACGGATGATAGTTACCTAAACAACGAAACGTTATGGGACGAGGAGTACACGTGCCACGGGGATGATATTAATTTTAAAAATCGCATGATGGGTGGAAGTGACTACGACGCATCAGCCTACGCGTTTTCCGAAGCGGCAACAGTCATCTATGAGAAGAACAAGGAAACGAGTGCTGGTTCGCCATGCAGACCGCGACCAAGAACGGCGGACGGAATTAAAGCGCCCGACTGCATTTGTCCGGGAAAAGTTTCGTCGCCTTGGAGAACGGATACATCTAGGTGTACGAAAAAACCGTGCGTAGGCGCAGATTGCATGATTCGCGCCTTCAAGGAGGCCCAAGAATTCGTGGATTCAATCGGCAAAGTGCCAGGCCTGGTGGGTCTCGGCCTGATGGATCCATCCGAGAGTCCTTACTTCGGCCGTGACGTACAGAGGGATTATGCCATTCAAGAAGCACCGAGTGAGAGAAAGCGAGGATATCCCGTCTCGGCACCGCCAGCGTTGCCGATTCAATGTCCCGCACCTTGCAACACGCAGATCGGTAGAGTCATCGCCGGCATCGTCTCCACACCTTACGTCGCACCCACTGCCGTAACGACAGGGATTCCAGGACGCCCTGGTGTCGTACGCGAGGCGATACCAACGTTACCGGAAGCACTCCCGCTACTCCCGGTCGCCGTCAAGCCGAAGAAGAAGGAGGACAAGAAGGAAGAAAAGTTGGAAAAGCAGAAAGAGCTGGACGTTACGACCTCCGCGCCGCTGGACGTCGACATTGGTCCCTGCGGCGAGCCAAAATGCAAATCTCGCCGGAAGAAACCCAAAGACGACCGGACGGTGCCGCACGACGTCGTCGAGGAATCGCAGAAAAAACCGATACAGTCAACCCCGCCAAGTACAATCTCCGCGAAAGCAGTCGGCAAATTCACCGGAAAGGGACGGTATCCGAGGGGTAAGGCAGGCCCGGGTGGTGACAGGGGTCCTATCAAGGTCAGCAAGCGAGTGATGCGATACGTTTATTCCATCGGCGACGTCTATCCCGGGACTAATTACGGCCACAAGAACTGCATCGATCCGCGATTCAGGGTGCCGGCGAACATGGGCTGGCTGTGGAACACGAGCGCGACGGTGGGCAAGCTGAAGCCGCGAATCGGCTGGAAGCCGGGCGCGATCAGCCGTTACCTGAACGAGCTGTTGAAGGAGGCGAAAGGCGCCTCCACGCTGGAGCATTATCGGGCGAGGTCGACACCCTCGCGCACCAGCCTGCGACGCGGCAAGACGTACAAGAGCATGAGCTACGTGTCGCAGGTGAAGAAGGAGGGCGAGGAGGACGCGGAACCGCCGCCTACCCTGCATATTCACCGTAAAGACGGCACGTACTACGTGACGATGTACCCGATCAGGCAGGAGACGGACGCGGACGCGTCGCGGCTCGAGGAGCCGATGAAGCCGCTGCAGTTCAAGATAGCGCGCAACAAGGACGACGCTTCCGTGGCGTCGAGCTCCACGGCGTCAGACATGGAGATCGAGTTCTCGCCCCCAGCGGCGGTCAACAGGTACCGCAGGAAGCCCGACGTCATTCACGTGGACACCCAGGTCAGGCAGCAGGAGATCCTCGACGCGTTCAAACCGGCGGCGCGGGCGGCCGACGCGCCGAGGAAGGAGAGAAAAGGCAAAAGAGAAAAGAAGGGAAAGAAGTAACGAAAACCGCGTCCTCCCACTCCGTGCCCTTCGCTCATTTATTCCCATCCCCGCACGATCGGGGAAAGGGAAGCAGCTTTATCGGAGGTTTGTATCTCGCCGAAAATATATATAATAGTGCCTCGCGCGCACGTTTTGCGCGACCGGTTTGCGTTACACCGATCCTAATTTTACACGACGCGTTAAATTCGATTACGCGCAACCCATACTTTTCGTAAGCTCAGTCGACTAATTGCGAGAATAATTTGCCGAAAGGAGGGGAGGTAAAACGATTACGTCCCTCGTAAATTTAATATCTCGCTGTTAAAATGACCGACATTACTTAAAGCGGATCAAAGGAGAAATGTGTCTGTACAACGTTTATTTCTAGCCGTTTCCAAACTGTCGCGATAAATTAGCTCTTCTGGAAGATTCATTATATTCCCACCGTCCTCGAGATATTTTCAGAAGTATTTATTTTTTATTTTGCAATTATAACGACATAATCTCAATTAAACGTACAATTCAGTTAAATTTTGCGGATTCTATCGTGTCGATTGAAGAATGCGCAACGGGAAAATAAGATTAGATTGTTCAGATTTGCGCTGGTATAAATATATACCGGGTGTCTGAGACCACCCGCCCACCCCTTTTTTTTTCAAAAACTAAGCATTTTAGAGAAAAACGTTCCAGACAACAATTGTATGGTTTTGAGGGGAACATAAGATGGTGTCATTGATTTGACCTTGGGTGGCATCGTTAAGGACAGGTCAAGGACACCTTCAGTTTCTTAAAGGAAACCCTTTATTTTTTATTGCATATTCTTATAGCTTATGTCAAGAGCTTTCCAAAACACTATAATATTATGTATTTTTTCATTAAGTACTTTTCGAGTTATAAGGCTTGAAAGTTACAGTTTTATGACATAATATTTTGTTAGATAAGTATTTATAATTCAAATTCCTTACTTTTTATTTTTGCAAACAATATGAATCAATTAATGTAAAAAAACAAAATTTTCTTACAGAAAAACTTGTTGTGTAAGAGCGTGATGTGGCACAGTAGATAGCGCATGCGCATTAATCTACAAAGCTGAAGAACAATTTTAATGCTATTTATAATGAGTGTAATTCTTGTACCGTTGTTAAGAACAATGTTTAAAATACCTGGAATAAACTATTGCGCGCTGTGTAATTTCTGTAGGCATTTATATTCATGCATTAAGTTTCATTGTTACAGAATGTCTATTCACCAAGTACATATTGAATTACTTTCGACAAAGACTTAAATTTAGCGTATACCATGAAAGAAGAGTACCGATTTTTTATTGAGTGATTGATAGTTATTGAAAAAGCACCCCGAATCGTGAGAGGCAAGAGGACTCACGCAAATCAAGCACCCCGAATCGTGAGAAGCTAAGAAAATAATGAATATGCAATAAACAGTTACATAAGTTTTTCTTTAAGAAAATTGTGTTTTTTTTACATTAATTGATTCGTATTGTTTGCAAAAATAAAAAGTAAGAAATTTGAATTATAAATACTTAACAAAATATTATGTCACAATACTGTAACTTTCAAGACTTAACTCGAAAAGTACTTAATGAAAAAATACTTAATTATAGTGTTTTGGAAAGCTCTCGACATAAGCTATAAGAATAATATGCAATAAAAAAATAGGGGGTTCCATTTAAGGAACTGAAAGGGTCCTTGACCTGTCCTTAACGATGCCACCCAAGGTCAAATTAATGACACCATCTTATGTTCCCTTCAAAACCATACAATTTTTGTCTGGAACGTTTTTCTCTAAAATGCTTAGTTTTTGAAAGAAAAGGGGTGGGCGGGTGGTCTCAGACACCCGGTATATATATCATACTGGACTCGAGAAGGTGTGAGAGAGGTTATATTTGACTTCTACGGCGAATTATTCTGACGCTCAGGTGCCATGCGCGGCATCTATGGATGAGTCCAAAGTTCACCATTATCTACCATTATCGACGGGAGTTAAGGCCTAAAGGAAGGTCTACTCGTTGCTTCGTGACACTTCGAGCCGTTTGACACTTGACAGGAGAGATGAATGCACAGGATTACAGAAACCAGGTCGTGCGTAAGAGGATGCTCGATCTGCATGATGTCCGCGTGGGAAAGGTCCCGCAGGACTCGCCGTGGTTGAAAAGCGCCCGCTTGAACTTCACGCAAGACCATCGGTTCAAGGAATGGGATATAATAAAGATCCACGACAGCGTGTGTATAATTGTCTTCAATACGACTCGAAGGAAGCTTGTGTTTGTCAGGCAATTTCGGCCGGCGGTGTATTACGCGACCCTACCGGAGGATCAAGATGCGATCGACGTCGAGCATTATCCTGCGACACTGGGACTGACCTTGGAACTTTGCGCTGGTATCGTAGACAAGGACAAGTCTCTCGTGGAGATCGCGAAGGAAGAGTTGAAGGAGGAGTGCGGCTACGAAGCACCTACTTCGGAATTTGAGGAAATTACTACTTACCTGTAAGTCCAGAGTGTTTACTATGCTTTAGTCATTGTCTTCTATCATTGCGTAAAAGATGAAATCAAATTTAGAAGCAACGAGAGATGTCTGGTACAACTTGTACAATATCACTCTTGATATATCATTGTCAATTGCCCTGACGAGTAAAATAAGCTATATCTAGAATATACAGGTATTAAATAGTTTATTCTTGTGTTTTTCTAGATCCAGTGCTTCTGCTAGCGCAAAGCAAACTCTTTTCTATGTAGAAGTCACAGATGACATGCGAAAACATCCTGGTAAGTATGATTAGTAAATGTTTTTTCTTAAAATAATCTTAAAGTAGTTTCAAAGAATATTATTTTCATAATATATAATCGACAGATCGTATTTCAAATATACAAAACAATTTTCTAATCCAACTTGAATCTTCCATTAAAGGTGGTGGTGACGAGTCTGAAGGTGAAGTCATAGAAGTGGTGGAATTGAGCATTCCCGAAGTAAAGGATTACATTGGATCCAAAAAAATACAAAGTCCCTCCAGCTTTCTCTTTGGTGTGTCTTGGTTCCTCCTTAATAAATCCATATACTGTAAAATACAGTACTAAAGAGAGAATTGAGCTTGTTTAACAATTTAAAATAAATTAAAAAAACCGCAAATTAATTGCAAGTAAAGACCAATACTATTGTTCAACCGCATTTATTTACAAATAGAGCATTTATACACAAGCAATGATAGTTGCACAATTAAAGTTACATAAAATTACAGGGCGTCTGACATTCAATTAGTATTCAGTTCATCCTTCGTGAATTGAGAGCTAACCCACGCAAGACCCCATTTCAAATTTGTTAGTAGGAATTTTAAGGCCTTGGTCCACTGTTCTTCTGAATTGAATTGTATTCTGAAAAAGAGAATAGATCAGATAAGCTTCTTAGGTTAAGTAAATTTTTTCACCTTGTAGATTAAAGTCATGACAAAGATATCCATATTTGTGAACTCAAATATACTTTATAGAATAGGAGTTGCCCGTCGCGGAATCTTCAATTTTGCCTCGATCCATTCTGTATGGCAGACAAAATTCACTGTCTCCTTTCTCCACTTGTTCCTTAAATTGTTGCAAACAATCCAGAAATGCCACCATAGCTGCGTCAAATTTTGTGTCCCATAAAAATTTAAATCCTCCACTTCCGTATAGTGGGAGCTCTTTGTTTTGATCCAAAGCCTCGATATAACTGTGATTGCCAAAAGGCACTAAACGGAAACGCTTGAACGTCAAATTCATTTTGCGCGCAAGAGCCACCAGCAAAAGGGTCGTTTGTCCCCACGCGGCGTTTATCTCGCTCCAATCCACTGGCGCGCTCGGCAATCGTCCCAATCGAAATGAATTTATAGTTCCAAAGTGTCCTGAATGCCAGATATGAAATGTGGCGTTAAAAACGTTCGTCTTCTTCAACCTTTCGAGCTGCAAGGCTGCGTACGCCAGTTGATTATCCAGACTGTGGGAAAAAAAGCTCGACTTTACGTAACATAACAGAAATAAAAATATTAATAAACAATTACTGTTTTACTCGAGAAAAAATAATATCTAACTATGTGTTTTGAGATGCTTTATATACCTGCGACATTCATCGTCAGCTAACATGAGATCTCTTCTGTGTTTTGAATATTCTTTCCAATACCTGTCCTCCTCACTTTGCAATCTTTCCTTTTCTTTCTCCTGATCCTCTATGATACGCTTAATGGCCTTTTCCTCATTTCTCAATGCTTCCAGCTCCCTTTTCATTCTTTCTTCCTCGGCCTTCACATCCTGCAATTCCTTTGTAAGATTCTCCATCTCCACATCTTCATGTCCCTGATATTGTTGCTCAATTTCTAATTTCTTCAGATACTCGTTATAATCTGACCATTCTCCTTCTGTCATCCGTAATTGCTGATCCATCAGCAGCAAAAGGCTATCTGTACATTCATCGCAAAGTGGATGATCCGCCGAACTGCTGCTGCTGAGAATATCGAATAACGTTGCTCGTACCTAAGAAAATACAGATCTGATTGTAGCTGTACAGGTTTCACATTTAAAATATTCCCCGATATACCTCTGTATATATACCTTTAAGTGATGACTTAAACTTTCCGTTTCACCGGAATCGCCAACCAACATAAATCCATTTGTACCATTTCCTGACTCAGTCAATCTGAATGGTGGAACTAAGTGTTCTATACTGTCACTTTGGGGCTCTAATTCTCCAACGACTTGCTGCTGTATGGGAACTACAATAAGATAATAATTATATAACTTGCTTGGGTCCCAACTGCAGTAAATTAAATGGTCACATTTTGTATTTATTGTTGGATATTTAGTGAATCTTATTAATAAGTGTAGCGTGCAGCTAATGCTGCGCATCTGTGTGTAAATAATGTATATAGCTAACATTGTTTTTTTCTATATGACACTGCATCCAAAGTTTAGATATATATGTATGTATTATGTAAAAGTCATTATTTATACACAGATGCACAGCATTAGTTGTATTTATTAATAGAGTTCGCGCTCACTACAAAATTAACAAGAAAATCCAACGCAGATTAGCGCGTCGTATGCTAGTCGTGTGAGCAACCAGTGCGTATATAGAAACGTTATCAGCACGAAGGTACCGAGTGGGACAATCGGATCGGTGATGAACGCAAAGTCGCCAGTACAAAATAGAAATTACCTACGTGAGAGTTCGGCCAGCGTGTGCTCCCCGAGGTGGTCGAAGCTCGAGTCCAGTCTCAACGGCTGCAGACACCGTTGGCACGCGAAACTGACGTTTGTCTTTAAGTCTACCATATCGCGTATGTCGCTTATCGAAGAGGAGCCTGCTCATGCAACCTGTCCGTGCGCGTCGTTATTTACGAATGTTTACGAATACGCGTCTGCCGCTACCCGCGACGCTTGGGGGTCAGCTGATGGTGCCTTGCGGAGCGACCATCAGCTGGCGCTGTCGCATCACTATCGTCATCACGTCGGTAGGTCAGTGGTCGGTACAGACAACGTTCTTTATTGCGATCGGGCTATAGATAATGTATATGTATATATATATGTATGGTATGATAATATATATGTATTTCTCTCTGGTATAGTATATATATGTATGGTATACCCCGATAACCACACCAAGCGTACTAGCACGACAGCGTACGCTGTGCTCAGCATGTCATGGAAAAACTATGCTGTCTCTGTGTCACTTTTATATGCAATATGGTTTTCTATCTAAAAAAGTGTCACATTAAAAACCTTTACTTTAGCATAAAAATATTTAAATTTAATATTTAAATTCATAACAATAATTATATTGTTAACTATATCGAGGTAGTTTAAAAAGGTAGTTTAATGTTCGCGGACCCAGCTAGTCAAGTAACAGTCCGTCATGAGGTAATTGAAAACAGATATATTGAGAAACATTACACAACATCCCAATAATTATAATAATATAATATGATTTTACACGCACGATTTAATCGTATTTAATTATTTACTAATTAAAAAGATATCACAATAGTAGTGCGATTGGACTCGATTTATGTTAGGTCAGGCATGACAGTACGAGTAAAGCAATATGCGATTGGACCACTACTTATTTAATCTCATATATCAGAGCAAAACATTCGGCAAGCCCTTATTTTCAAGGTATGTACGAAATCCGGAAACTTCAGGGAATATTTTAAGACATGAATAATGTATTCATCTGATCGCTAAGTACATGTATTATTCGTTGAAAACCTCGGACGTGGCGATTTGCATCATTCTATCTTTCTCGTTCATTAGATGTAAACAAGGATAGAATGACAATGGCACGCTCCGCGAACGCACATTTAGAATGACTTATTTCTTGTAAAGTGTCGGTAACCTCACTTGATTTTTCGTACACATGCCCCTTATTACTGTATATTTAACATATATCAAATTTAGGTACCTATCTAATACTTGTTCTCACGAAAGGACCACCTTAAATTTATTTCAGCTATGCATGTTCAAGCGGCCAAATTACGAGCAACAACAGAAGGATATTGGATAAAAACAAAAACACTTTATTAAATAAACAATACACATGGGTAACAGTCTTCTTCGGAACGAATTACTATGAATATAAAAGAAGAAGATAAATATATCAAAAAACATAATAATGTTTAAGGGGATCCTAAAGCCGTCTGTAATACCGGCTTTTTTTCTTAGCACTAATCTTTTAATTGACTTTATAGAAATGCAAAATTCTTGTCTAGAATTAAAGTACGCATCAAAATCTAGGTCATGGTGGTCAAATTTATATCGAAAACGAAAAAAAATTAATATTTTTGTTAATTTTTGGTATACGTGACAACAATATTTGCTTTGTACAAAAATTCCACGATAAATATCCACAAAATTAGACCGGCATGACCTAGGGACAACATTTAAGAACAATATCGTGCAATTAGATCTAAGATTGAAAACCTAAAAAAAAAGATTACTTTATATAACTTTTATATGTGCAAAAGCACATTCAGGTTGACAGGATAAGCAATATTGCGTGTGGCAAGAGATGGCGCAGTAATCGAACAAAGACAGATGCCTCTCGTTAGACAAGGACAGATATAGATATATGACAAGAAAACAGAATTAGAAATGTTGACATTACCGACGTCGAGGAAGTTCAGCCTTCACTTTAGGATCCCCTTAAGTTAACATACTAAAACATTATATAAACATTAATCTAGACTAAAACATTAAACAATCTCCTAATAATATAAACAAAATAAACAATAATCTAACTAAATTGAATCACAAATAAAAACGCCGGAATAATCGAATGAAACTATGACAAGATAAATTTATATTTATATTGAGAAGTGATGGTAAAATCTCTTCCGTCAGGAAGAGAATGTAAAAAAGTATTAAGGGGGGTAATCTGATTTTTAAAAGATCTTTAAAATAGATATTTTTCAAGAATTTTTTATACGGAAACGAAGAAAGTGAATAACGTTAAACTTTGCATGTTCTCTCTTCACCTTATTTTAAAAATTTATTTTTATTTTTTAAGTAACAAAAATGCTCTTTTTTCTATGTTATATTCTAGTCACTATAAATGACAGACGGTGTAAATAATTCTAGCTGTTCTAAGTATTTGTCATTTAAACTTACAAGAGTTTGTAGTATTTAACACTTTTCGACTTTTCATTACAGAATCATATAACAGATATCTCAATATCTCCATGGCAAGACAAAACAATTGCTAAATTTCATTTTATGGGTTGGAATTGGGCGTTCAAAAATGGGTATATTGGGTATAATGGGTATTTGGTATGTAATATTTGAATTAACAAATAAGATATTGTTAAAAAGATACGCTTTTGTTGAGAAGAAAGAATAATTATATTTTCTATTTCGAAGATATCGAGTTTCATGAAGCTGTATATCCAATCAGAGTCTGTATTTAGGAAGAAATTTCATGTAGTCCGTCAATAGCAAGGGTTTCTTGTACGTTTTCCCGTCTATATCGATTGACCACACGTATCGTTCGTGCGAGATGTACAATCGACCGTTCGTTATCAATACGGTATCCATCACGTTTCGCAAGGTGCACAGATCCATCTCGACGTCTTTCGTAGTCGTCGTTGCTATCGTTGTCGTTGTTGTGGTAGTCGTCGGTGTCGTCGTCGTTATTACTTTTGGAACTTTAGCGTTTTCTTTAGCGCCGTACAGGTGTTGAATGAAAAGAACGTCCTCTAGAGTAAGTTGAACGGGGAATGTCTTCTCAGACACGAACGCGAACATCACCGATTCTTCGCGGAAGGTGTGCGGCAAGCCTAAAGCGTGACCGATCTCGTGCGTCAACGTCTGAAGTAAATTGTACGTCCCCGGGGGATTCTTAGTCAGCTGTATGTGCCACGTCTCCGCTTTGTCTACGTGCACCTCCGAGACGAAATTGGGGTCTCCGCTCCGGTGAGAAAGAACGCGTAAGCGACATCTCAGTTAGGACCTCTGAACGCAGACGAACACGCGGTTCGTTTCGTCGGGAGTATAGCATCGCGTGACGCCCCTCACGAAACGATATCAAAATATCGGGATTCAGCGAATCGCGCTCGAACGTCAATGACAAATTCGCTGCCCACAAATCGAACGCGGCTCGGGTCGTTTTCAAGATTATATCGTTGGCCAGATGAAAGTTCCATTTGAGATGTTTCCTCGGCCATTTGTCCGAAAGCGGAGCGAACGTGCGCTCCGAAATGTCCTCGACGCCGCATCGCGGTTTACCCATTCGATTCAGCATCTTTTCGTTTAATTCGCCGTCGCCTGGTAGTCGATAGAATTCTTGAAACACTGAGACGGCTCGATGTAACTCCTGCGTGGTGTTGTAGGACGATGAAAATCGCTGTGCACCGCTGTTATCCAGATACCCATATTTTTGCAGATAACTGATCGCAATCTCATTTTCACTCGATTTACAATTTACCGCGACGACGATAATAATCGCGCACGTAATTACGCGCGCGAGCGACATCGTCGAGAGATAACGATACGTTTCCCACCTCGACCCCTTGACCCTCGAGAAGCGATAAGTGTCACCGCCCGATCGAAGCGCGAGTGACCGACGTAACGAGCGATGCGTTCCTTTTTTTTCAGCGATCGCGACGCGGGTGGGAGGTCTCGGTAAAGGTGTTAATTCGTGAAAGGCTGAAAATGAGCGTCGACAAGGCGAACGTGACGATTTCGCTTTGACGTTAGCGCCAATGATGAAGTTGCATTTGTATAATATCCACCATCGTCCCGGTACAAATGAAACATAGACTTTAAACAAAAACATTATTAAGAAGTACATATTCGCAATATATTATATATATATATATATTTAAACGCAGCGTAATATCTTCAAGTAATAATATTTCATGATACATATAATATAAATACAAGATATTAATTCTGAAGATTCGGTATTTGATATCGCGACGCGGGTGAGAGGTCATTCGGAAATTGATATCGCGACGCTAATGAGAAGTTTATTATGTAATCACATTAATTTACATGCCTTATAATAGGCTCAATATATATTTATTTATTAACCCTTCGTAAACAACGTTATTTGAGATCTTCAAAAACGTTATTAAGAAGTACATATTCGCAAGTAATAATATATACGAGATATTAATTCTGAAGATTCGCTATTTGATATCGCAACGTAGGTGAGAGGTCATTCGGAAATTAATATCGCGACGCGAATGAGAAGTTTATTTTGTAAACACATTAATTTACATGCTAAGTCTGTAAAAATGTAAGCGGAAATTGATATCGCGGCGCGGGTGAAAGATTTTCTTTATGTATATATATACTTATATGTGAAATTAGATGCTTTATCTTTATATATATTAAAATTTCATGTGATAATGTAGGAAAAACAGGAACTTACGATCTTTATATATTAAAATTTCATGTGATAATGTAGGGAAAACAGGAACTTACGTTCGAAGATAAAATCTGTTTTCACACTTTTACCGTAAAAATTATTTCTTTAACAAGTATATAAGGAGTCTCAATTTACGAGCTACCGTTAAAGTCGTTTTTTGCAATGGAGGACTTAAAACTGTTAGTGGGAGCCTGCGACATGTTAGTTAAAGACGTTGAAAATCTAGCTACTACTGCAACATCTATGAAGGAAAGCGCCGCGAAAGTGTACGCTGTGGTCAAACACATGCGTAAAATTACGCCCAAATGTATTAAATTACAATACAACATGGAAGACAAAGAGAACTTATTCCGATATGTGTAAGTACAATCATTTTTTTTTTTCACTCGCAAACAGACGGCCGCGATTAATGTTTTTTTTTTGTTTATCAGAAACAGATGTATAGATTTCATCGGTGAACTACAAAAAGAAATATTTGATAAAACAATAATTGAAATTCATAAAATGGAAATGGAAATGGAAGCACAAGTAATTTGTGATAAAATAGCAGAAATTAAAATTCCTGGAGCTAATCCTACAAATGATTCGGACGCTTCTACAAGTGGTGATAACGAGGATGAGACCGTTGACGTCGACTGAATACGGCGCTATGATGTAGTAGTAGTTGTAGAGTAATGGCTGAAATGCAAACTTGCATCTTTTAAGATCGTAGAAAAAATATCTGCGAGGATTCTAGAGCGCAATCGAGAGTTAATATCAATTTTTGTAACTTATCTATAAGCAATATATATATATTTAGGCGGCAGAAAGTGAGTAAATGTAAGATGATTTTGTAAAGGGTTGGCGTCCCTAAAAACGACCTTTCAACTCCATCAGGGGAATAAAGTGCATAGTAATCTAACCTATTTGTATAAATTCTTGTTGACACAAAATTCATGCCGCATGACAAATAAATATGTATATAATATGGTAAAAGGTTTAAACGATTTTTTCTTTTCATTTACCGTTCACCCCATTCCCTGCCATTAGAATTAAGCTGTCTTCGTTTATCGTTTACTTAATGTAATATTAAAATTTAATATCGCGAAGATCTAAACGATTAAATATCGTTGGCGAAGAAAAGATACGCGATCGTGAGCGAGAACGCGAACGGGGGACGGGGGCGCGAGAGAGACCGCGAGCGAGAACGCGCGAGGGAAAGAGAACGCGAACGGGAATGAGATAACGGGGGGCGGGGGCGAGAGCTTCGAACGGGGGAAATAACGCGAGCGTACCGTTCTCGCGGGCACTGTATAAGCGCGAAGCGCGAGAGAACGCTAATCCTCGCGCAATTAGGTTGTCAGTTTGAAGTGTGTGACGATTAAATAAAAAAAAAAAAAAATGTCGGAGGAGGATCGCGATCTCATCGAATTCGCCACGGGCCTCGACTCGTCGGACGCGTATCGCGAGTGGGAACGACGGTGCGAAGAGCGTCTCGCGTCTCTGCGAGAGAGATGCCGAGAAAAAACCCGCCCGACGTACACCGGAACGTTGAACTCTCTTATCGTTCGAGTGGCGCGATTGGAAGGAGCGAGAAACGCTCTGCGTCAACGTTTCGCGCAGGTGGGCGCCGGTCACGGCGAACCGAGCAGAGGATTTTCGTGGACGGAGATAGAGACGGCTTTCGAAAGTCGCGTACTGACCGGTGCGGTTATAAACTCGAATCACGTTGATCCTCGATTATTTCTCGAGGATGCGAGGCGCACGGTGCTCGAACAAGTGCGCGTCAATCACGAGAGACACGCGTGCCTGAAGGTCAACACAGTTTTCAATGGCGAGTTCGTCGCGGGAGTTAAAACCGACGTGAAAAGCGTCGCCACGCGAAATCGTCAGCTCTTTCCTACGGTCGATTTGCGAGAATGGTACGACAGATACGTGATCGATGCCACTCTGGCGGGTCTGGATGAATTTCAGGAACGCGACAATGGCTGGGCATTGTCGCGTATATTGAACCTGATCGTGAACGTGAACAAGTGCAATCCCATGCACGCTGGATGTTGGTTTGAAATACCGCAATGGATAAAGGTGAAGAAAGCGGTGATCAACGTGCATTCAGACGACAACGCGTGTTTCGCGTGGGCGGTAATCTCCGCTCTGTATCCCGCTCTGCGGAACGTAGATCGATGCGGGTCGTATCCCTATTACGCGACGGTGCTGAATTTGGAAGGGATCGAGTTTCCTATGACTCTGAGGCAAATTTCGAGGTTCGAACGACTCAACGACATATCCGTCGTTTTCACCACTTGGCGGAGGGGACGGAACGACGAGATCGTTCCTTTACAGCTGACCAACGATAAGAAGGACAGTCATGTCAATCTGTTGTATCTGTCAGATTCGTGAAACAACTCGAACGGCGGTCATTTCGCGTGTATAAAGAATCTGTCGCGATTGTTGGGGTCTCAGTTAAACAGGAGCAAGAACATGAAGTACATATGCGATCGGTAGGTATAAAAAAAAGAGTGCGATGTATGTGGAATGAAAAAAAATCGTATATATTTTATTTTTAGATGCTTACACTACTTTCATTCGAGAGAGAAATTGTCCGCTCACAGCGTCGACTGCGGAAAGATGAACGACTGCGCCATCGTTCTTCCGAACGACGACGACAAATGGTTGTTTTTTCGCGATCACAGTAGGAAAGAGCGACTTCCCTTCGTGGTCTACGCCGATCTGGAATGCGTGTTGGAGAAAGAAAAGATAGACAACGATAACGTCAAGAGATACACATATCAGCATCACAGAGCGTTTAGCGTGGGATACTACCTGTGCAGCCCGTACGACGAGATTGGACCCGGGTACAGATTTCGTCGCGGCGAGGACTGCGTGTCGTGGTTCGTCAACGAGCTCAACGTTATCGCGCATCGCGCGAAGGAGATACTCATGACGAACGTGACCATGGCGGAGCTCACGTTGGACGAGACACGAAATTTTTGGAGCGCGACGAGCTGCTACATATGCGAGAGACCGTTCAAATCGGAGGACGGTCAACGCGTGCGCGATCACTGCCACTTGACCGGACGTTACAGAGGTCCCGCGCATCCGCGTTGCAACCTAAATTATAGAGACTCGTACGTTATTCCTGTGTTCTTTCACAATCTGTCCGGTTACGATGCCCACTTTATTATCAAAGATATCGCCAACAGCTTTGAGGGTAGAATCGATTTATTACCGCTCACCAAAGAGTTGTACATATCGTTCACGAAGTATGTAAGGGAAGGCGTTAACTGGGGAAACTGCGCGAAATTGCGATTCGTGGATTCGTTAAAATTTCTCGGCACCAGTCTCGAGAAATTGGCGTCGTATCTCGATAAGGACAAGCTGAAAATCATGCGTT